GTTGCTTTTGAATTGCTGGCCAGATGTGCACTCCCCCACATACTAACTTGGCTTACTAGGCCAGTTCATTTTCTGGGTTCACTTCATGTCCAGAGCCTTAAACTCATCAAATGTCTGGAGTGGCAGTTTGCTACAGCATGGAAAGAAAGACTAAATTTAAGCTTTGCATTTTGCACAAATGCAGTTACTTGGTCTTTCCTGAACCTGGTGTCAGAAGAATACTTTGGAGTTCCAACTCGAGCTGGAGCTGCGCAAGAATAAATAAAAACGAGAATCAAACAGGAGATCTTCAGGAAAGAAGAAATATTTATTCCTAAAAGCAAAGAGTTTGCCTTTAGGGGCAGCTGCAGAGAAATGGGGTATAACAGCAGATTTTTTTATAGGGGCAGCTTGTTCGGGGTGAAGTGTCTACGTGCTGATTCTAGGGGGTGACACTTGAGGGGCATTTGTGTTTGTAGGTATGTGTATTCTTGTGAACATGCAGTTCCTGTGGGAGACCTAATTTAATTAACTCTGTGTTTGCAGACCTTCTCCTTTGATATGTGGATTAGGTCTGGGTAACTTATTTGGGGGGTTTGCTAAATTTAGTGGATTAATTTAGTTTCAGCTTGACTGTCAGTTATCTAGTGGAGACACTGATTCTCAGACCATTGTGGATTCTCTTAATGTTTTAAGAGAAGATGGAAAAAGTATAAAGAATAAAATATATTTGGATATAAAACTTCTCAGGCTGGTTAAGGATACTGTGAAAAAGCAGTCCTTTCTTCTCTCTCTGTGTTGGGGTGTGTGTGTGTGTACAAGAAAGGGAGAGGGGCTCATTTTTAGGCCAGGCATGCTTCATCTTGCTGTTAAAGTTAGAAAAACTCTGCAGTGATGAGTAAAAATTGGGATGTTTTTCTATTTAAGAACTATCATCTGGAGATGTGTATGTCTCTTTCTTTTAACCTTTGCAGCTTCAACGGAAAAGACACATTGGCAATGACATTGTGGCTATTATATTCCAAGACGAAAATACTCCCTTTGTTCCAGATATGATTGCTTCAAATTTTCTGCACGCCTATATTGTCGTCCAGGCAGAAAATCCAGAAATGGATAATACGTCCTATAAAGTAAGTGGGTGAGAAAAGTAGAAGTGTGTGTGTGTGTGTCCCTGGTGTGTGTATGTGTGTGCCCACACATCTGTTTTTCAACTGACAAATAAGCCCTTTGGTGGCTTTGACAAATGTACCTGTTTGACCGGAGATAAAGAGTTCCTACTAAGCCTTTGTGAAAATGGTTATTTATTCTTGGAGAAGCAGCTGGTGCCCTCAGCAGTGTGGTTAGCCTATCTGCTTGTTGGCAGGAAATGTCATTAAATGCCCAGAGGCGTGTAGCATACATCTGCCCTTGAAGCCTTAGCAAAGTCAGCTTGACTGAAGGTTGCGGAGCAGGTAGCCAGTAGCCACCTTTCCGGGGCTATGTGCCCCTTCTGGCATTTGCAGATTATTGTGGATTAGTTGGTTTGCCACTTTCTGTCTGTTGTCCCATATCAGGAGAAAAGAATACCACTTTACAATGCCTTGGTAAGGCCACACTTGGAATACTATGAGAGGGATCTGGGAGTCCTAATGGACAACCACTTAGATATGAGCCAGCCGTGTGTTGCAGCTGCCAAAAAACCCAACACAGTGCTAAGCTGCATGAACAGAGGGATAGAATCAAGATCACGTGAAGTGTTAATACCACTTTACAATGCCTTGGTAAGGCCACACTTGGAATACTTTTTTCCAGTGCCATTGTAACTTCAAACGGTCACTAATGACTGCAAGTCGAGGACTCTCTGTAATAGTATGTAGGGATGACCTTGGGAGATGGAAGGAAGAGAGGCTACCTAGGGAACAGGCAGATAAGAGAAGACGTAGCCTGCAGCTGCATAATGGATGGAGGAAAAGGCTCACAAGGTGCTCGGTGAGATCTTGCAAATGACGGTCAATGCAGCTGTGTTGCTGAGCTCCTGAAGTTCAGTCACATGGTCACAGAAGGGGCCCAACTGTTGAAATTTCTAATCCAGGCTGTAAATCCACCTTTTCAGTAAACTTGGTCACTAAGTGACCATTCGTAAGTTGAAGACTACCTGTATGTGAGAAGTTTGGCTAATTTTCTGGCCCTTAGGCATCGCTTAGTATTTGCATTGTAGAGTGGCTGGAACACGCGGTGCCTTGTGCAGTCCAGTTCTTAAACACGAGACGCAAAATTAACAACCCACTTGTGGATTGGAAGAGATTTCTCAGTTGCCTGATTAGAAAGAAAATGTATGTGGATAAAGTAGAATAGTGAAGATTCAGAGGCCAGGATCACATTGTCTCCACTATGGATAGATTATAATCATTAGTTAATAGCAACCAGTGTAGTTTTGTTGGCTTATGAAATATGGAAATTATGAACCAGTTTTGGACTGGTTTTGCCTTTTATTTTAATTCATTTAAAATAATATATTATGGTTTCTTGCTCAGTCAGCCAGATGTTCTGATTGGATTTGGCATTGTGGTCCACTATTGCAGGGCTTTTCAACCTTTTCACCCATTGTACCACTTTTAGGATATGGCAACATCCGAGTACTACCAGTTGCTTAGCAAGGTGTCAAAAACTTGATGACCCAAAAAAAGGAAAAAAGTGATAAAGTACAGGTAGTCCTTGACTTACAACAGTTCACTTAGTGACTGTTTGAAGTTACAATGGCACTGAAAAAAGTGCCCCCCAAGCCACAGCCGAGCAAGACACCTGCCTGCCCACCCAGCGGCGCTCTTCCTCCTGTCCGACGTTTTCATTGTTGTGAGCATTTCTGTTGAGGATTGGCAGCGGGAAGGGGGGATGTTTGGTTTTTATTCCCCCCCCCCCATCTGCTGGGTGGTTGCAGCAGGTTTTGGTCACTTGACATGACCCTGGGACACTGTGACCGTCATACTGTAAATATGAATCAGTTGCCAAGCATCTGAATGTAAATCACAAGACCCTGGAGATGCTGCAACATTCCAGCTGATCGGCACTTCTTCTGGGCTCAGCAGAAGCACCAGGATCAGCGCCGAGCTCCAGCTGGAGCCTGGCACTGATCCTGGCGCTTCTGCTGAGTCCTGACAGCCCTGCAGCTCCAGCCATCTCTCGCTCAGGCTTGTGCGGTGCTGCCACCGGTTCAGCTCATTTCCCTCCCCCGCTACCACTTTTCTAGGATGGTCGCGTATCACCTGCCAGGTGCCAATGTACCACAGGTGGTACCCGTACCACTGGTTGAAAAGCCCTGCACTATTGAGTCCTTCCCACGGACCTCGGATAGGCACATGTAGATGTGTTAAAGGTATCATTGCAGAATGTAAGCTGTACCTAGTAAAGCTGTCTTTTGCAATTGATTAATGGTTATTTTGTCAATGCCAATAATGCAATGATGTTCAAGTAGTGATCTGTTTGTTTTGGGACTGTACCCAAGGTGCCTATTACTGTTATATTACTATTCATATTATTGTTTTGTATTACTGCTTATAGCATTATATGTTCTTTGCCTATCTCTCTTTCTCTTTGTGTGAAGCACTGTTCAATCAATACATTAGAGAGAGAAAGAGAGAGAGAGAGAGATGCTGAGGATAAGGCTGGTTGGAAGCAAGCAATGCCCTCCTTATGGACTCAGAAGTCTTGCTAGAAATCTTGACAGCTGCCCAGATGTGCAGAGCTCACTAGGTGTTCAATGACTTCACCAGCCAGAGGTTCTCCCTAGAAGAACTTCAACATCAGTTAAGCTGGATTAGTAGAATGTCTCAGGACACACTTAAATCCTGGTGACTTACATCTGGGTTACATTCTTGGCAATGATGACAGCACCAGTGATTAGCCCTTGCCTCATCCCGGACTATTTCCCAACTTTTCAGTCTAATCCAGGGGTAGTCAACCTTGGCTCTTTTATGACTCGTGGACTTCAACTCCCAGAATTCCTGAGCCAGCAGCTGGCTCAGGAATTCTGAGAGTTGAAGTCCACGAGTCATAAAAGAGCCAAGGTTGACTACTCCTGGTCTAATCCATAGCTCTGGGGATTTTGTATCTCCTATCCAGATGGCAACCAGGTTTAACCTGCGTGTTTTGTTTAAATCAGTCAGGGTGGTTGGGTTCGGCCAGTTGCCGAGGCAGTTCTTTCAAATATGCAGGCAATTTAATTTAGTTTAATTTAGAATAATCTTTTCTACTATCCACCTGCTCCCAGTTTTTCCCCCACTACCTTGATGAATTTGATTGCTTGTTTTTTTTGGGTTGCTTTGGCCTTCGATGCTGTTGTGGAAGAAAATGTAGTCCCAATGCTTTCCTTGTTGCAATATTACAATCAATAGCTTCCTTTCACACAAAAGATTGTGTTAAGGTTATGGAGGTATTTCTCAACTTTGCAACTTTAATATGGGTGGATTTCAGTTCCCAGAATTCCTCAGCCAGCCATGCTACCCATCCATCACAAATTTGCCAAGATTAAGAAACACTGGGTTAGGGAAACCTCTGGCTGAAGCATTCACACAATATGCTAACATGGTTAATATTAAGCTTGATGAGGGATTTGGGGGGTTTAGTGCGTTGAGTGAATGCCATCCATTTGGATAAAGACAATCACCTGTCTGAGATGGTATAGGTCAGGGGTAGTCAACCTTGGCTCTTTTATGACTCGTGGACTTCAACTCCCAGAATTCCTGAGCCAGCTGTGCTGGCTCAGGAATTCTGGGGGTTGAAGTCCACGAGTCATAAAAGAGCCAAGGTTGACTATCCCTGGTATAGGTTCTCCTGCTTGAGCAGGGAGTTGGACTAGAAGACCTCCAAGGTCCCTCTCCTATTCTATTCTATTCTATTCTATTCTATTCTATTCTATTCTATTCTATTCTATTCCATTCCACTCCACTCTGTAGAGTTTGAGAGACTAAACTTCCCACCAAGCGAGATCAACGCACACCTCAGTGGGCCCTTTGGTGGTAGATCTAAAGTTGCATCCAGACAACCACCCAAGGGAAGCAGATCCTCACATGTCGAGAAACAGGACAATGACATTAACATGGGAACCAGGACATGTAAGGAACCCAGATGTCTGTTTTACTGCCAACAGCACCATCACAGGCCCCAACAATTTCAAACACAAATTTAGAATCACCTTCACATGCCTTTCTTCTAATGTGACAGCAATGGCTCCCTGGATTCTACAAACAGGCCAGACTTTGTGCAAAATAATTAATGGTCAAGTTTGATATCAGGATTTAAAACAAAGGGAAAGTCATTGAAGAGCATGTAACCTCCCGGGACACTCACAGATCCCAAGTCATAATTTTGTATTAAAAGGCATATGCCAGCACAGTTGAGCATGAGACAGCTGAATATACATACAACAATATGTCCCAGGCTATTTCAGAAGGCCTGAACAAACACATATCAGTTGTTAAGGGGAAAAGTACTTGCAGTCTGTCCACCTTGAGCCTTTATCTGCTTAACTTCAACAAGAGTCACTTGGTTTGTGCGATAGGCGGCTTTATAAATTTGAAAAATAAATAAATAAACCTCCCCCCCCCCCGGTGAGCTACAGTTCACCAAAACCTTATGCCTCATAATAACATTTGTTAGCCTTAAAAGGTGAGACTCCTTATGATTTTTTTCTCCAACCTGATACCTGCAGTCTGAAATTCTTTCCATAGTTCTCTGCATGGAGAAACATCAGCGCTGGCGAGGAATTCTAGGGGTCATGCTTACATTTTCATATTCCGATTTCCCATTTGTAGATTGATGACTTGAGAAAGGTTTTCTAGATTTTGTATGTCCCCATTAGGACATTATCTCCATATTCAGAGATAATCTATCTTCTTCAAAGCGGTTAAAAAAGAACACTCACTCAGGACTTCCAAGAATTATATGGCTGGCTAAGAGGGAGAAAAACAAAAATTTAACCAGAGAGACCATTGTACAATAACTGCATTTACATTGGGTTCTTTTACATGTAGCCTTTGTGCATATCTCATAAACTCAAATGCCTTTTCTCTTTCCTTGTTTTGGATAGGTAGCTGTCACAGCACGAGAAGATGTCCCGTCTTTCGGTCCTTCACTGCCGAGCCCACCTGTATTCCAAAAAGTAAGACCCAACCCTAATCCTAAAACAAGGTTTGTTTGGTACTTATGGGACGTAATTTGGGAGATCTGGGGGGGAAGGGTTAAATTAAATAGATTGATTTTTGGAAGATTTACCAATATAAAAGCATTTCTACTTTTTCATTTAATGACTAAGGCTTTATTACCGTGGTTGGTCTGTGGAGAACCATCTCCCCCCACACCTCCAAAAAAGGGACTTAAAATAACACCAATTTCATGGTGTAGACTGGATTTCTGTATTGCACTAAACCAGAGGTGGGCAACCTTGGCTCTTTTATGACTCGTGGACTTCAACTCCCAGAATTCCTGAGCCAGCCATGCTGAGGGGAAAGGGAGAGGTTTCCAAGCTGAGCCATGCTGGCTCTGGAATTCTGGGAGTTGAAGTCCACGAGTCATAAAAGAGCCAAGGTTGCCTACCCCTGTACTAAACCAAACTGAGACCATTGATTTTTATTTTAGTTTATTGTAGGACCCCAGTTGTGGTGGATTATAAATCAGTTTTATTATTCTTTTACCTTCAGGAGAGATCATCATCATCATTGTCAATTACTTTGCATTATTATTGAGTCCCTAAGTTTACATTAAATGTGACTGGTTAGGCAATGATGTCACCAGAGTAGGCAGGTCTGAAGTGTTGGTGCTTTTTATTTTTCAATTTTAAAAGACTCAATATTCCTGTTGCATCAACAGAGGGATAGTTTCAAGATTATGTGAGGTGATAGTACTGCTCTATACTGCACCAGTGAGGTAACACTTGGAATATTGCAACTAATTCTGGTCCCCATAGTACAAAAAAGATATTGAGAACATAAAAGGAGTGTAGAGAAGAGCAGCAAAGTTGACAAGGGAGCTGGAGGCTAAACCAGGGGTAGGCAACCTTGGCTCTTTTATGACTCATGGACTTCAACTCCCAGAATTCCTGAGCCAGCATGGCTCAGCTTGGAAACCTCTCCCTTTCTCCTCAGCATGGCTGGCTCAGGAATTCTGGGAGTTGAAGTCCACGAGTCATAAAAGAGCCAAGGTTGCCTACCCCTGGGCTAAACCATATGAAGAACGATTGAGGGAACTAGCTATATCTAATCAAAACTATTCTAACGAAGAGAAGGACTACAGGTAACATGATAGCAATCTCATCAAATCTGTAGACGACACCAAGCTGGCAGAAATAGCCAACACTCCAGAAAATAGGCTTAAGATACAGAAGGATCTTGACAGACTTGAACACTGGGCGCTATCTAACAAAATGAAATTCAGTGGTGAAAAAAGTAAGGTTCTACATTTAGGCAAGAAAAACCAAATGTACAGGTATAGTATAGGGGGTACCTTGCTCAATAGTAGCAACTGTGAGAGGGATCTCAGAGTCCTAGTGGACAATCACTTAAATATGAGCCAGCAGTGTGCTGCAGCTGCCAAAAAAGCCAACACAGTGCCAGGCTGCATTAACAGAGGGATAGAATCAAGATCACGTGAAGTATTAATACCACTTTACAGTGCTTTGGTAAGGCCACACTTGGAATACTCCATCCAGTTTTGGTCACCACGGTGTAAAAAAGATGTTGAGACTCTAGAAAGAGTACAGAGAAGAGCAACAAAGATGATCAGGGGACTGGAGGCTAAAACACATAAGGAACGATTGCTGGAATTGGGTATGTCTAGTCTAATGAAGAGAAGGACGAGGGGGGGACACGATAGCAGTGTTCTAATATCTCAGGGGTTGCCACAAAGAAGAGGGAGTCAAGCTATTCTCCAAAGCACCTGAAGGCAGGACAAGAAGCAATGGATGGAAACTAATCAAAGAGAGAAGCAATCTAGAACTAAGTTTTTAAGAAGAGACTGGACAGCCATTTGTCTGAAATGGTATAGAGTTTCCTTCCTGAGCAGGGGATTGGACTAGATAACCTCCAAGGTCCCTTCAAACTATTATTATTATTATTATTATTATTATTATTATTATTATTATTATTATTATTATTATTATTATTATTATTATTATTATTATTATTATTATTATTATTATTATTATTAACCAATCTTTCAGTACTTGAGGGACTGTCACAGGGAAGAGGTGTCACAGGGAAGAGGGTGTCAATCTATTCTCCGAAGCACATGAGGGCAGGACAAAAAGTAACAGGTGGAAGATCATTAAAGAGAGATTTAACCTAGAACTAAGGAGAAATTTCCTGACAGAACAATTAATCAGTGGAATGGCTTACCTCTGGAAGTTGTGGATGCTCCACCCTTGGAAATTTCTGAACAACCATTTATCTGGAATGGTGTAGGGTCTCCTGCCTGAGCAGGGGGTTGGACTAGAAGACCTCAAAGGTTCCTTCCAGCCTTATAACTCTATGTTCTATGTAGGAAATGGACAATAAGGTTGACACCTACTTGATGCAGGGGAGATTCTTTGGAATACATTTCTGGCTCAAGTTCATTGGACACTCATCCTGGAGTTTTTTGAAGATCTGTTGATGATCCCCTGAAGTGGCACCCAAGGAACAGCCTTGAACTGGGTCATTATTGAGCTGACCTGCTTTTTTTCATTCCTTAGAATGCAGAATTCCGAGAGTTTCTTCTCACCAAGCTGATCAATGCAGAAAATTCTTGCTGTAAGTCGGACAAGTTTGCCAAGCTTGAGGTAAGGAAAAATGGGTTACCCTTGAGCAGGTAAACAGGACAACTTGCTCAGCCCAAATCCATTTCCCTTTGGGATATCCGAGATTAACAGTCACATTTTAAAGGAACTCTTTGAAGCCAAACACCAGGACGCAGATGCCTGTAACATTGCCTTGTTATGAATTCTGCGGTTTCTTGAAGTAATTCACAATTTCTGCATTGTGGTATTGATGAAAACATCGTGCTTCAGTTCTTGCATCTCTCTGACTTTTGCAATAGAATTCCAGGTTAGAAAAAAAATAGAAGTGCATATATGAAATTTGGGGAAAAAAATTTTTGATCCCTTTAAAAAGTGTATTGAAAAATAGATTAAAAGGTGTTTGTGAATGTGTATGTATATATTAATTTCATGAAGACATCTGATGGAATGGTCTTATACTGAACCATACAACACTGAATGGACCAGAAATAGATTGCTCCATTAATCCTTATGGAACGGCATCTTAGAAGAACCCTGGCTTAGAATAGCCAAAGACCCCTGTGGTATAACATCAGCATGACAGAGGATCAATCTGCAATTCACGGAATACCCATGTTCTTATGCAACTTCTTGTGGTCTCATGTTCTTTCAGGAAGTGCTGCTGAGGGCAGTCATTCCTGCAAAGAAACAATGCAGGGAGGGAGGGAAGGAGGGAGGGAGGGAGGGGGAAAGGAAGGAAGGAAGATGGAAGGAGAGAAGAAGGAGGAAGAGAGGAATCATTTGACCACTTCATATTCTTAATAACTTTCCTCTCTCACCCAAATAAAACTTCAATTAGTTTCTTAGATTTAGATCTGCTTTTCCTCCAGGAACTCAGTTCAGCAGACATAATAGTTGTCCCAAAGATGCTTTTTCACGAGGCAACTGGACTTTCTTGTTTTTCTTTGAAGATGTTTCACTTCTCTTCCAAGAATAAGAAACATCTTCAAAGAAAAACAAGAAAGTCCAGTTGCCTCGTGAAAAAGCATCTTTGGGACAACTATAACCTGGATGGCTGAGAATCTCGGTAGACATAGATAATAATCACTTCTCCTGTTTCCTGCCCCCCTAATATATGTTGGGCTAAGAGAAAGTGACCAGCTCAAGGTGATCCAGAGAATTTCCATGGCTGAGCATGGACTGACACTAGGGCCTCCACACTGCTACCTCAACACCTTAACCTCTAGAGCAGGGGTAGGCAACCCTGGCTCTTTTATGACTCGTGGACTTTAACTCCCAGAATTCCTGAGCCAGCATGGCTCAGCATGGAAACCTCTCCCTTTCTCCTCAGCATGGCTGGCTCAGGAATTCTGGGAGTTGAGGTCCACGAGTCATAAAAGAGCCAAGGTTGCCTACCCCTGCTCTAGACTGTACTGGTGTACCATGCAATTGTTTGTAATAGGAAACACCTTTGTGTGAAAAGTTGTTCATGCAAAGTTTGCCGCATGTCGTTGGAATTATTTGACCCAGGAATTCTGGCATTCTGAAGCACACCACTGTTAAAGGAACACCACACGGGGTGGACAACTACAGTCCCTGCTGTAGCACAACAGGAGGGATTACCTTCCCAGGCTCACCAATTAAAATGGCTTTCTGTGATCAAAAGCATCTCCTGCCGATTCATGCAGAAGTCTTTGAGCGGATTAAATCGTGTTTAATCAATAGATCAGAGCTCACAGCTCTATTAATTACAGGCTTCCTGCTGAGAAAACAATATGGGCCCTATCTATGAAGTCATCCAGGGTTGAGCTCAACTTGAAGGGAAATTTATCTTAAAGCCAATTAAGGCTGAGCTGCATTTGTGAATGTTCAGCTTCCTCAGGCATAAGCTTCCTCTTTTTTTATTTGTGAGAGCTGATCTTTATTACCGCTCAAAATCTCCCAGGTGAACTAGGCGTCCCACAGAAGCTGTGACTGTGTCAGAAACTTAAAAAAAGAAAAGAAAAGAAAGAGCCGCTTCAACACAAAGGCATCGCAAGGGGAGTCAAAGGGAGGCAGATGACAAAAACAGATCACACCCTTTTAGTGTAAGCTTTGCACCTTTGGGACACAACATGATACACATGCTATTTTTATTTATTTAAAAGATGTATAAAGCCACCCATGTGGTAGCACGCAACTCTAGGTGACGGATATCCGTGCGAAAAAGACAAACAATAAAACCAATAAGAAGGAAAAGAATGAAATGAAATAAAAGTAAGAAAAGCTAAGCACCCAAGCCATAACTACAGGTAGTCCTCGGCTTACGACCATCATGGAGCCTGCCCATTACGGTTGTATGTCATGACGGTTGTAAAATGGGTCACCCCTATAACCGACCCAATTTTATGACCTTTTTTTGGTGCAGTGGTCATTAAGCAAACACTGTGATTGGTAAGTGAACCAATTGTTCGCTTTGGGTGTTTTTGCCGAAAACTGAAGGTAAATGCTGGACTTGGGCAAAAACATCATAAAATGCAGTCATATGAGACTGCAGGATGCTGCCAACAGTCATAAATGCGGGTCAGTTGCCAAGCACCAGAAATGCAGTCACGTGACCATGGGGGGGGCAGCATCAGAACTTCAGAACCATCGTCAGGATCCCCAGAGAGGTCTGTTAAACTCAGTGACTGGTCGTAAGTAGAGGACTACTTGTATACCCTTTAATCTCTTCTAATCCTTGACCTCCAATTTTATTGCCCCAGTACCTTGTGGAAAAGTGTACTCTTTATCAATTTACAGAAGGCTAAGAGGATGGGTGTCTGCTCAGTGGTGGGATTCAAATATGTGAACAACCGGTTCTCTGTGTGCATGCCGCTTCTGAAAGTCCATTCTGGGCCTGGGCAACAAAAAATTAGCTACCGGTTCTGCCAAAGTGGTGCAAACTGGCTGAATCTCACCATTGTGTCTGCTGGATCTGGAGAGGAAGGTGTTCAATATCTATGGACATTCTCAGTCATCCAGGTCACACAGTAGTTGTCTGAAAGATGCTTTTTCAGGAGGCAACTGGACTTTCTTGTTTTTCTTTGAAGATGTTTTGCTTCTCATACAAGAAGCTTCTTCAGCTCTGACTAGATGGTGGGGAATGGAAGGATTTATATTCTTTGCATCCAGTTGGTCATTTGCATTCTTTTAGAGAGTCATTGAGGCCACTGGGAGGCTTATCTGTGTCCTCAGGGACACCTGAGTGGTGCAAATGGATGTGGAGTCTTCTTGGAGCTGCTGAAAGGACTATGTTGCAGACTGGAGAAAGATGATGTCATATCCCCCCCCCTGTGTTGAGAGAGGGCTGTTCAGTTTTGAATTAGATGGCCTCTTTGACCCCCTCTTTCAAACCAGTGGTCCTCTCTGTCCAAAATGTGGACTTTGCTGTCTTTGAAAGAGTGGTCGTTGTCTTTTAAATGCAGATGGACTGCTGAATCTTGTCCTAGGAGAACAAACCCATCAAGACAAGATTCAGCAGTTCATTCCCTACCATCCAGTCAGAGCTGAAGAAGCTTCTTGGATGAGGAGTGAAACATCTTCAAAGAAAAACAAGAAAGTCCAGTTGTCTCCTGAAAAAGCACCTTTGGGACAAAGTGTTCAATAGAACAGGGGTCACAATGGAAAAGCCATAATTCTTAGGTCCTATTAGAGGGCAGCTTTTAAGGGAAGGAACTTGGAGTGTTCCTCCAAGTGAACTCAATCAGATCTAGTGGAATGGGCAGATGTCCTCAGAGAGAGAGGGTCCTGCAGATAACTTGGCCCTCTTCCATGTGGGGCTTTAATACAAGTGGTCCTTGACTTTCAACAGTTTGTTTAGTGACCGTTCAAACTTACAATGTCACTGAAAAAAGTCATGTATGACCATTTTTCACACCTACAACTGTTGCATCATCCTCATAGTCACGTGATCAAAATTTGGATGCTTAGCAACTGACTCGTATTTATGACAATTGCAATGTCCAGGAGTCATGTGAACACCTTTTGCGACCTTCTGACAGTCAAAGTCAATGGGGAAGCCTGATTCACTTCACAACCGTGTTACTAACGTAACAATTGCAGTGATTCACTTAACAACTGTGGCAAGAAAGGTTGGAAAATGGGGCAAAACTCATTTAGCAAATGTCTCACTTACCGACAGAAATTTGGGGCTCAACTGTAGTCGTGTGTCGAGGACTACCCAAACTAGTAGGTAGTGATTCCACAGATCAGTGTTCTTCAACCTCAATAACTTTAAGATGGATGGACTTCAACTCCCAGAATTCCCCAGCCAGCATGGGAGTTCTGGAAGTTGAAGTCCACACGCCTTCAAGCTACCAAGGCTGAGGAACAGCGAACCCAACCACTTTTTAGCCTACATCAGAACTGCAAGGCCATTTTAGAACCCCCTAACGTTGCTTCTAGGATCGAACACGGGCTGCCTTGTTGGACAACTTGCACGATGAACTCCACGTCCACACGCAGCTGATGTTGGGCCTAGGATCTGAGGAAGACAAGCTGGAGAACGGTGGACACGGTGGATTCTTGGAATCGTTTAAGGTAATAAAAAAAATGTTCTTGAATTTTTGTAACGTAGAGAAGCAGAGACATAGTTTTACTGCAAAATGCCCAAAATTAAATACTACTGATACTTTTGACCGCTAGCCTCTTTCAATACATTGCACCCTTTCATCAGTCATTGCCCATCACCCAAATGCTTGTCAGAAGGATAAGCTAAGGACCAAAGGCTTAGTGTTTTTTTCCCCCCTGGCTTCTGATGTTGTACAGAATTGGACTTTTTTTTTTTTTTTACTCTTCTGGCATTGCAGGAGACCCCAGGGCTGAAGAGGAAAACAACTGCCAGAAAACTGGTGCAACTGCCCTTGTACCTTTGGACAGCCTTGTTGGTCTGCTTAATGGCTTATTTACTTCTCAGTGTGTTGCCTGGGTAAATGGATAAAGGAAATGGAAAAAAAGGAAAAAGAGACTGGAGTTGCTGCCTACAAAATGCAACAAGAAATCACAGATGTTCTTTTTCGCTTTGTTAACACTTGCACAGTCTGGGGGATAAAAAAAAAAATCAAAATCCTTTCCAATATGATCAAAGGGGGAGGATAGCCTTTTTTTTTTTTCCCCAGTTAGGTTTTTCAGATGGTTTGGTTTGTGATTTTTAAAATAGATTTGGCCTCCAAGAAGATGGCTGGGGATGCATTTCGTTTAGAAGGCATTCTTCCTATTTTGGTCCCTATTTTGGCTCAAGATTTGGGCTGCCAGGAGATCAAACCAGTCAACTCCTAAAGGAAATCAACCCTGGATGTTCTTTGGAAGGACAATTACTGAAGCTGATGTCATGTGTCTGACTAATGAAACACTTCAAAGAACTTTCAGGCATGGTTTAACCTAAAAAAGCCTTTATTAGTGTAGAGGCGTGTCAGCATGGCATGATGGATGCCAAGATCTGAATTTCCCTTCCCTTTGCACATAACATTCCAGGCATTTCCCCTCCCCTATTTTGGGGTCATGATTCACATCTGCCAATTAACCTGGAGGGTAAAGATTCACTTCCGTTCCTTTTCCCAGGGCTTTCCTTACTAATCTCCTCTCTTTCTCTGTCATCTGAATTAACTCTAAAAATACCAGACAGTTCTGCATATTTTGTCAAAGCAAGAATATTCAATATTAGCAGCATTGACAGCTGACGCTCAAGTACTTTGGCCACCAAAGGAGAAGAGAGGACTCATTGGAAAAGACCCTGATGTTGGGAAAGATGGAAGGCAAAAGGAGAAAGGGAGGGCAAAGGATGAGATGGTTAGATAGTGTCATCGATGCAATGTACATGAATGTAGGGAAATTCTGGGAGACAGTGAAGGACAGAGGGGCTGTTATCCGTGGGATCATGAAAAGTCAAATATGACTTCGTTACTGAACAACAACAAAAGCAAACAGAATAAATAATAATAATAATAATAATAATAATAATAATAATAATAATAATAATAATAATAATAATAATAATAATAATAATAATAATAAAGTTGGAAGGGACCTTGGAGGTCATCTAGTCCAACCCCCTGCTCAGGCAGGAAATCCTATACCATTTCAGACAAATGGCTGTCCAGTGTCTTAAAAACTGTTGGAGCATTCACCACTTCTGGAGGCAGGTTGTTCCACTGGTTAATTGTTCTAATTGTCAGGAAGTTTCTCCTTAGTTCTAGGTTGCTTCTCTCCTTGATTAGTTTCCACCTGTTGCTTCTTGTCCTGCCTTCAGGCGCTTTGGAAAATAGCTTGACTCCCTCTTCTTTGTGGCAGCCCCTGAGATATTGGAACACTGCTATCATGTCCCCCCTCGTCCTTCTCTTCGTTAAACTAGACATACCCAATTCCAGCAGCCGTTCCTTATATGCTTTAGCCTCCAGTCCCCTAATCAACTTTGTTGCTCTTCTCTGCACTCTTTCTAGAGTTTCAACATCTTTTTTACATTGAAATGTTGCAACCTTTTACCCATTTACATGAGAATAAGCATCATATAACTTGTTACTATTTACTGAGTTAGAATTTTCATTCCTCCCCTTTTCCAATGTGTTGTTAGTGGGAGCCTGTCTCAGAATGATGGGAAATGGCATGACCTGGATTTATTAGGATTGGTCCAACGTGGACTCAGCAGACAAGAATAAACGGTTTGGGCTGCATGCAGTCAAGGGCCTGCCAGTTGCTGACCTGCAGAATATGGGGGGGGGGGAATGGTATAGTGGTACCATATGGGTGCGGTGTCCTAGTGGTTAAGATACTGGCCTTGTTGACTGGAAGGTCGGCAGTTTGAGACCCAAACAACGCATGAGTGAGCTCCCATCTTTACCCTAGCTCCTACTAACCTAGCAGTTCGAAATCATGCAAGTGTGAATAGATAAATGGGTACCACTTTGGTGGGAAGTTAACAGTTTTCCATGCCCCATAGTTTATAGTCATGCTGGCCACATGACCACAGAAGCAACTTTGAACAAAGCTGGAAACAGAGACATGCACCGCTCCCTAGAGTTGGACATGATGGGAGGGGGAAACCTTTACCTTTAGCAGACGGTCAGATTTGGGGTGATATGGTACTGTAGGTCCACATCTCAAAACAAGCTGTTCCTCTCTCTGATGCAAATTCAGCAGGGCTGGTGTTCATTTATTTTGAAGTAGGCGCCAATCTATGATCAACAAAAGAATTTCTCATTCTGATAAGAAGATTTAATCCAGAATTCAAAATTATCTCAAGGCATTGTGAGGCAGTCATCTTATTGTCTATGTCTGATGACATTGCAGCATCCGTAGAATGAAATGTTTGTAGAGATTCCAAACAAACTTCTAAAACTTTTACATTAAAGCCATATCCCAGTTTCTTTATGCTGAAGACTAATCAACCATAAATTTGCAGAACATTGTTTTTCTGTATCCTAATTTATTTTGAGAACAACACTGTGTTGGTGTGGGCATCTGTGGTGATTTATGAGATATTCTCTTGTATTTGTCATTTGGGGGGAAATGGGATAATTTCTCACCTTGATAACCCCAATGTGGTAAGGCAATGTGAGAGAGTATGTGCCTATTGATTAATGTATTGTGATTTTTTTGGGGAAAAATGCACAAAAGCTTGAATTGAGGCCCTCAGGACTTCTTGTGTGGAAGGGCAGAGTTTCAGCACAAGCCACAGAGCAAAAGAACTGTACTTTGCAGTGTTGTATTTCATAAAGCAACCACTGACACCAGTCAGGCATCCATTAAAGCAGGGGTCTTCAAACTTGGCCTTTTTATGACTTGTGGACTTCAACTCCCAGAATTCCTCAGTCAGCGTGCCTGGCTGAGGAATTCTGGGAGTTGAAGTCCACAAGTCATAAAAGGGCCAAGTTTGAAGACCTTTGCATTAAAGTGATCCTCAACAAAGCAGCAGGACTATGTTCATCCTTAAACATAGCCAGGACTTTATGGACTTCAAAATGTGTTAAGCTAACCCTGTTGTATTTCATGGGCCACTCATGGATCACTCTGCTCAGTCTGTTGTATAGGATCCTTGACACCTCCCCCCTCCCAGTTCCATCTTCCTGGCCCTAATTCCTGCCAAAGAATACCTAATGCTCATACAGTCTTCAAGCACAATACAGTGGATGCAACCACTCCTAACAGCTGGATGCCAGGGAACCTCTGGGGAAGATGGCAGATTGAAGACAACTCCGTAAAAAGTGGAGTCAATATTTGCAGTCACAAACAGGGAGCCGATGAGCAGATGAGCTCCTTCAACCCTCTCTGGACAAAGAGAGGGTGTGAGATCATTCAAGCTGATCTCCTCAATTGCTTCTCGCAAGAAGACTCCAGAGGGAGGGAGAATTGGAAGATGAGGGAATTCACCATAATTGCTCCAACCACAAACTGAGCCTTTTCAAAGGCTACTAACGTTGCATATCTCTTTCAGAAATTGCCTATGAACTGTTTCAAAGAGGTTAGACACTTACAAAATGAGAAGATTGCAAACATTGGATGAATGCCTTCAATTCTTAAGAACAGAACAGAACAGAACAGAACAGAATAGAATAGAATAACAGACTTGCAAGGGATCTTGGAGGTCACCTAGTCCAACCCCCTGCTCAGGCAGGAAACCCTATACCATTTCAGACAAGTGGTTGTCCAATCTCTTTTTAAAAACCTCCAGTAATGGAGTACCCACAACTCCTAGAAGCAAGTTGTTCACTGATTAATTGTTCTAACTAACAGGACATTTCTCCTTAGTTCTAGGTTGGTTCTCTCCTTCAGGTGGTTTGGACAATAGGTTGTCCCCCTCTTCTTGATGAAAATGATGTATCTTTATATATTTTTTTAATAATTATAACAAAAAGCAAGACACAGTTTTGGCTACACAAAGTTTTAAATGGATTAGGGGTTTAAAAATGTTGGAATATTGGATTTTGAATATTAAGACTTTGAAATTCTTAAAGAACAAATCCATGTTTCTGGGAAAGAAAAAGTGTATCTTATATTGGAGACATAACAAGACAAGTAACTTATTATAGCTTTCAAAGATATCTTTGATGAACTGCATTGGGGATTGTGCCAGGACTTTGAACCAATTATATCAGCTATGTTGCATCTTCTTGGGAACAGTCTGTTCCCAAAAGATGTACAGAAAAAAAATATGCAACAAAATCTACCCGAGAACAAGATGAATATTTGAATGAGAATATGTAATCAGATATAAAGAAAAAATTGAATGAGGCTTTAAAAATTAAGGACATAAAATGACATCCAAGAGCAATTGGAACAATTTCTTTTTGCTGGACTTGCAAAAGAGGCTGTTTAACACACTGAAGAAATTTGTATCAAGGATCAACAACCATCTAAATGAACTAAAAAGAAAGATTGTTTTATCTTAAAAAAAGAATACAAAATTGGTTTATTTGATCAAGATCAAATCTGGATTGGTTGGTACCTGGAGTGGAAAAATATTATTTATTTAATTTGCTTATATTGAATATGGTGTTTTAAGCTTTCCCCCTACACTACAGCATTTAAACTGGCTGTGTATAAGG